TATCTGTCGTCTGTCTGTTGGCGCGATAGCTCAAAAACGGCTTAATAGAAAAACTTCAAATTTTGTATACCGGTATGGTTACTTTTTGTCTCAAAACTGGTTATACTTTCTGTCAGTTATATGCAGGGGGAGCAAAGTCGACAGATTTCGACTAAAATTGGTTTGCTGAGTATTTTAAGAGTCAAAGAAACAGATCCTAAATAAGTTTTTAAAAATTCAAAATGGCGTTGAAAAAATTATATTTAATCGAAAAAGGGCTCCTTTGAATGGAAATAATAAAAAACATTCATTTAGTTTATGTAACTAGACCATGTTAAAAGCAGCTAATCAGCTCCTTGTTTTAACAATTTCTATATCGAGGGAAGTTCTGGGTAAAAAACTTTACCGATATTCTTGGAGTTGTTTTTAGTATACCGGGGTGTCCCAGATTTTTTTGCCCAGCGGATATCTCGGTTATTTAATGATATAAAATTGTAAAAAAAAATATGAATAATATTTGTCTAGTAGCCTTTTAAATTCCACTACATAAAGTTATATTCATCAATCCACCCCATAGGAACAACCCCTAACTTTTTTTTTTTCAAATGTCACCCCTATATTTTTTTTCGCTGATATAAATACTCAATTTGTCCCGAATACAACGATATGATTTTTGATATACTTTACAGAGTCATAAAGCCGGTAAAGACTAAAAACCAATGTTGTGGTTAAAGTCATTAATAATTAGTTTACATTTTATCATTTTATTATATTAAAAAATAACAAATCCAATGAATAGGTAAACCTCTTAATATGTTTTTTAAATAATTGAATATTTACAAAAATTGTTCGAAATGGCCCCCATTACTTGCCAAACATGCTTCAAAACGTCGAATGAGTTCACGAGTACATGACGCTGTAATCATTTCTGGTGTAATGTTATTGCAGGCTTGTACTATTTTATTTTGCAAATCTTCTAAATTCAATGGCTGTGTTTCAAATACCACGGTCTTCAGATATCCCCATAAAAAAAAAATCTAGAGGCGATAAATCTGGTGAACGCGCAGGCCACCTCAAAGGGCCGCTGTTTCCGATCCACTGATTTTCAAAGCGTTCGTTTAAAAATTGGGTAACTAAATTACTATTATGTGGAGGAGCTCCATCTTGTTGCCACCACATAGCACCTCTTTCTTGTATTGGAATTTCTTCAAGAAGTTCTGGAAGGTCATTTTCAAGAAAGTGTAAGTACCTAGCGCCAGTTAACGTACCTTGAAAAAAATAGGGACCTATCAGTCGTCCCTGAAATAATCCACACCACACATTTACTCCCCAGATGGTCTGAAAGTTAGTTTCCCTAACCCAGTGAGGGTTTTCAGGAGACCAATAATGCATATTGTGACGATTTACAGTAGCATTATTGTGAAACCTTGATTCGTCACTCCACAATATCTGGTTCAAAATGTTGGGATTTCGTTCCATTAAATCTTCAAAATGTGCTATTAATGTTATCCTTCTTTCGAAATCTCCAGCTCTAAGTTCCTGATGCAAATGAATTTTAAACGGATGAAAATTATAGGATTTTAGGATTCTTTGTACTGACGACTTACTAATATGAACCTCGTTAGCTAGGTTTCGCGTCGATATCTGGGGATGTACTTGCACATAAGCTAATACATTAATGCACATTTCTTCAGTTCTTACAGCAGCAGCATGTTGACGATGTTTGTCTTTTCCTGGAAATGACCCTTCTCTCATCCTAGTCTCAACATAAGAATATGTTTTACGTGATGGTTGTCGGCGCTCAGGAAACCTCTGTTGATACAAGTGTACAGCAGCACGAGAATTTTTTTGGCACTCACCAAAAATTAAAAGCATATCAACATATTCGTTTGGAGTGAATGTAAAGGGCATTTTGTCTGTTGTTTATAGCTAGCGAACAATTTCAGAAATGGTCTAAGCATATCGTTAGTTAGTTATAGGTAACAAAAAAAAAACAAAAACGAAGCAATTCTAATCAAAATAAAAAGAAAATACCAGGTGATACAAAATTAATGACTTTAACCACAACATTGGTTTTTAGTCTTTACCGGCTTTATGACTCTGTAAAGTATATCAAATATCATATCGTTGCATTCGGGACAAATTGAGTATTTATATCAGCGAAAAAAAATATAGGGGTGACATTTGAAAAAAAAAAGTTAGGGGTTGTTCCTATGGGGTGGATTGATGAATATAACTTTATGTAGTGGAATTTAAAAGGCTACTAGACAAATATTATTCATATTTTTTTTTACAATTTTATATCATTAAATAACCGAGATATCCGCTGGGCAAAAAAATCTGGGACACCCGGTATACAAATGTGTAGTGTTGATATAAATTATTGGGCTAAATAAATATTAATTTAAACCCTGATGGTTATTTTTTACCGATGTTTAGGTCTAAGTCATATTGAAAAACAACATCACAATCGCGATTTAACACCAAAAATTGTTTTTTACGATAAATCAAAATAATCGAAAAATATATTTTTATTCTGTTTTGTAATTGCTAATTTAACGGAGCCTTCTGAATTTGCATCCGCAGGGTCATTCCCCACATAGTACATATTTTTTTAGAAGTATATCTTCGAGTGCACAGTTCGATGTTTTAGAAGCGTCTTTTCGACTCTCTGTTTCCTGTATAATAAATAAAAGTATCTGGGCCGACGCGTACATTATTCAAATACGCAAGACACTTATTCAATATTCAATAGTTACAAGCAACTACAGAAGCGGCAACATCGCGCTGTACCATATAATAAAATAACATATTCAAAACTTTTAAATATTTGCACTTGTCCCGTAAGGTAGGTTATAATCCGTGTAAAATAGTTCGCCGAATGAAGAGGTTAAAGAGGGCAGCACTTGCTGATCAACTACTTTGTCCACACAATGTTTGCTCTCGTCTCATCGATTAGCACACATTTTGGCACAACCTATAACATCACTTTTGGGGACAATGTATTAAAGTAGGTACCATTCGAATCAGCATAACGTGTAGAATGCGTTAAAGCTGCTTTTAACTTGTGGGGTCCCAAAAATGGCCACACAATTCAGGATGGCCACACTACTATAGTATGAATTATGCGCATGGCCACACAGTGATTTCCCGACAAACCCACACACACACACACACACACACACACACACACACACACACACACACACACACACACGCACACACACACACACACACACACACACACGCACACGCACACACACACACACACACACACACAGACATCATCGCGAAAATAGTCAAAACGGATTCAGGGGACCTCAAAACGTAAAAATCCGTCGAAAACTCGAAGTCGAAAAAAATCATGATTCCTATACTTTCCTTATATCTGTATACAGATAGGAAAGTAATAAAGTACATCCATACCATATCCAGCATCATCAGGAGCTTCTTCAAAACGATTTTCAAAAAATTATATCTTTTTGTGAATGGGCAATATAGAGAATTAATAACGAAAATGATTTTTTTGATTGTGTACTTTTTGGGGATGAATCAACATTTTACAAAAACAGTTTCGTCAATAGACACACTTTTCATTACTATTCTACCACAAATCCTTAAGAAATACGCACATAGCCAAACACGATGGTTTATTACCGTTTGGGGTGGTATATTAGGGGACTATGTCATAGGACCACATTTCTTTCATGGTCATCTAACTACCGAGGTCTACTTAGAGTTTCTGCAGAAACATCTACCACTACTATTGGAAAATGTTCCACTAAATATAAGACGCCGAATGTGGATATTACATGATGGAGCTCCTATACATCATGCTTAACCAGTTCGCAACTTTCTGAACCATAATTTTGAAAACAGGTGGATTGGAAGAGATGGTTCAGTTATGTAGCCTCCCAGGTCCCCTGACCTCACTAAAGTAGATGTTTTTTGTGGGGTTTTGTAAAAAACGAAGTTTATAAAACTAGTCCATTAACTAGCGAGGAAATGGAGGAAAGAATAAGACAAATGTTCGCGAGCATGGATGTACAATGTTTGAAAAACGTTCAATTACACTGTGAATTTAGTTATAATTAACCCTCTTGTGCTAGGAAAAAATTTAAATATGCTATTAAAAGTAGACTATGATTAAAAATAACTGATCAGAAAATTTTGATGTTCGATTGTTTCCTTTGAAATATACAGAGGGTTGAATCTAGTACGATTTTCATATAAATTTAAACTTTTAAAATACCCAGTATAACCTTATACATGTTGGTATTTTTTTGAAGGGTAAAGTCAGGGAAATCAAATTTACAATTAAATACAGGTTGGATCATTTAAAAAAACATAGGTTTGATCAATTTTGAAGTTATGGATCACTTTGTATATTTAAAAATAATTTAGAAATGTGCAGATTAATATTATCTACAACTTTTCTAAATAACATTGTTTGATATTTTCTATAATATAGGATATATCGAACTTACACACACTCTTGGGACACCCTGTATTTGTAGACAGAAATCGAAATTATATAATTCAGAATGTAAAATAACGGTAAAGTCAGAGACCATTATAGATATCCACATGAAAGAATTAAACCACTTTTTATTTAATTTTTTTTAAATTATCCGGTTGATACAAGAAAGTATTATTGGTTACATAGATTTTAGTAATTTTTTACCAAAACAAAATTTTATAAATAATCTAGTCAATATTAAAAAAATATATTGAATGTAACACGTTACTAAATGCCGTTGTGTGTAACGCGTTCATATTGCGAGATCTCGCTCTGCTCGTCCTGCAAGTATTAACTCGTTACATAAAATACGACATTTTGTAACTGGTTGCAAAAATAACCATAGTGACAATTTTAAAAATATTATTTCACTTAAGATTTATCGGATGATGTTTTGTAAGTTTTAGTTCCCCCTTAACGTAATTTTCAATACAAAAAAAAAAGAATTTTTATGATTAAATTTTTAATTTGTTTATGTAAATAACAAAGTTAAATATTATTTTTAAACAGCGTTTGCCTTTGGAGCTTTGATTGGGACGTATTTTCGAGTACATTTTGCAAGTTCCACTGCTACTTCTTGGGGTGTAGCTCCTTCTTTCTTAACTGAACAGTTTGCGACAACAATATCAGTTTTGTCCTCAGATGGGCTGAATACATGTAAGATTTTTCTTAAATTTTCTTGATCAACATCTCCGTTTGCGTTATGAATGTTATATTTATTGTTCATGCAAAGCAAATAAGCACCTAATACTTCATTTTTTATTGGTCCGTCTTGATATACTTTGGCAATTTCCTTTGGATCAGTATTGGTAGAAGATACGCATTCTTGGCTGAACTGCTTATACTGTGCAAGATCTTGATTTAATACAGCTCCGTTTACCTAAAAGACAACAAACTATTTTATAGTAATTCAGTAACAAAAAACCAAGCAAATCATCTTTTTAATATAACATTTGGTGTTCTCGAAAAATTTACCTGATAATTTAATGCACTGGATTTTAATAGATAATTTTTGAAACAAAAAAAAAATAATAGTAGGATAAAACCCACTGAAAAAAGAAGAGAATATAACAAAAATAAAAGGAAAAATAATTTAAGGGTAATCTGAGGTCTGGAAATGGAAGAGGGGTGAGTTTTTAAGGGAATAAAACGGTTTATCTCGATTTCCGGCAAAACTACAAAAAAATATCAAAATTGAAGATAATAAAATGATCTACAAATTTTTTATGCACACTTTTTACTTTCCTATCTGTATACAGATATAAGGAAAGTATAGGAATCATGATTTTTTTCGACCTCGAGTTTTCGACGGATTTTTACGTTTTGAGGTCCCCTGAATCCGTTTTGACTATTTTCGCGATGATGTCTGTGTGTGTGTATGTGTGTCTGTGTGTCTGTGTGTCTGTGTGTGTGTGTGTGTGTCTGTATAACGCATAACTCATGAACCGATACACAGAAAAACACCAAATTTTAAACTTAAGCTTTGTTTCAGCGTCCAATGAGCTGATTAGATTTTGGGCAGTGTCGGAACATCTGGGGGGGTACTTTATAGGTGGTCATTTTTATATTTTATGGAATATATCTGTTATTTACGTTTGGAGAAGAAAATTCTTCAAATAAAAGTTACTTCTAACATAATTATCTATAATTTTTGTTTTATGCAAAATTTTCCTAAAATGGTCCGTATTCGAGAAATTTGACAAAATGTAAAAACATAATTTTTTATAAAAATTTTTCAAATAAAAGTTGTTTGTAATATAATTCTCTATAATTTTTGTCCTATACATAATTTCTCTAAAATAAACCGTATTCGAGATATTTGAGAAAATGTGTAAATTTCGAAATTTGAAGAAAACTCAAAAACGGATAAAGGAAAAAACATTAAATTTTAAACTTAAGGTTTATTTCGGCCTGACGTGAAATGATTAGATTTTGGACAAAGTCGGAACATCTGGGGGGGTACTTTATGGGAGGCCGTTTTTATATTTTTTGGAATATATCTGTTATTTATGTTTGGAGAAGAAAATTGTTCAAATAAAAGTTACTTCTAATATTATTATCTATAATTTTTGCTTTATGTCAAAATTTCCTGAAATGGTCCGTATTCGAGAAATTTGACAAAATGTGCAAAATTCTGATTTTTATGAAAATTTTTGAACTAAAAGTTGTTTGCGATATCGATTTCTATAAATTTTGTTTATACATGATTTTTCTAAAATGGACCGTAATGGAAAAGTGCTAAATTTAAATTTTTCTGTATTTTCGTTTTCAATGAATATCTATAGAAAAATGTTTCGAGGTAGATGTATGTGTAAAATGTATATATTTAGTTTATCCTCTAAACATTTATAGAGATGCTGCAATAGGTTGTACAAAATAACCGGAAAATGCCTATAATAACTAGATAGGAAAGTCATGTGTTGGACACATCAGATTTTTCTATATAATCTCAAAATTTAGGTGAAAAATTTAAATAACCAAATTTTTGGTTTTTTATTCTTATCTTCGATAAAACAAAATTTTACGAAATTTGATTTAAATTTACCTTTATACTTCCCAAACACACTGTAATTTTTTTTTATTTAAATATTTATTTTTTCACCTAATCTCGATAAAGCACCCTAATTTTCAATCGAAAATTCTACCATCAAAATAACAGCTTTTTTAAAAAAATCGGTGAACTTTTTGTTCGTTAAAATCTCTACTTTCTGATGGTGTAAAAAATATATACATTACTATGGTAAATGTTTTAAGGAAATGCAAAGAAACGAAAAAACTCGAATCCGAAAAAAATGTTTAATCATTATGGACAATTTTGTGTTGTTTATTAAAATTTACACTTTAATTACTCAAAAAACGTAAGATTCCGTGTTACATTGATAAACTAAATAATCTGATGTGTCCAACACATGACTTTCCTATCTAGTTATTATAGGCATTTTCCGGTTATTTTGTACAACCTATTGCAGCATCTCTATAAATGTTTAGAGGATAAACTAAATATATACATTTTACACATACATCTACCTCGAAACATTTTTCTATAGATATTCATTGAAAACGAAAATACAGAAAAATTTAAATTTAGCACTTTTCCATTACGGTCCATTTTAGAAAAATCATGTATAAACAAAATTTATAGAAATCGATATCGCAAACAACTTTTAGTTCAACAATTTTCATAAAAATTAGAATTTTGCACATTTTGTCAAATTTCTCGAATAAGGACCATTTCAGGAAATTTTGACAGAAACAAAAATTATAGATAATAATATTAGAAGTAATTTTTATTTGAACAATAAATAACAGATATATTCCATAAAATATAAAACGGCCTCCCATAAAGTACCCCCCCCCCCCCAGATGTGACTATGTCCAAAATCTTATCTTTTCACGTCAGGCCAAAATAAAACTTAAGTTTAAAATTAAATTTTTTCTTTATCCGTTTTTGAGTTTTATTCAAATTTCGAAATTTACACATTTTCTCAAATCTCGAATACGGTCCATTTCAGAGAAATTATGTATAGGATAAAACTTATAGAGAATTATATTATAGTTTTTGTTTATACATGATTTTTCTAAAATGGACCGTAATGGAAAAATTGTAGGAAAAGTGCTAAATTTAAATTTTTCAGTATTTTCGTTTTCAATAAATATCTATAGAAAAATGTTTCGAGGTAGATGTATGTGGAAAATGTATATATTTAGTTTATCCTCTAAACATTTGTAGAGGTGCTGAAATAGGTTGTACAAAATAACCGGAAAAAGCCTATAATAACTAGATAGGAAAGTCATGTTTTGGACACATCAGATTTTTAATATAAAATATCTCATTTTGTATTTTTCAAATTATTTCATGAAAGTGACTATTTAACCGTCAATATATATCCTATTATAGATTTGTCTTTGTATAGATACTTATCTTCGTCGGAAAACCATTTTCAATTGTGCATACTACCTATTTCAGAAACAAACTTTGTATTTAATCATAAATTACATTATGCGAAGCAAGACTTGTACGTATAATATTATATTATAGCATGTATCAATATAAATTACATTTATATACCCTGAAAGGTAATAACTCTATAGAGGTCGAGAACTATCATCGATAATATGAACTATCGAATACTATCGATAGTATTCGATAGCGCCCTAACCTACAAAATTAGAAGAAGTAAGACCTATTACCTTAACCTTTTTTGTGTAAATGAAAATCTATTTTCGCAAAACAGAAAAAAGGAAAAACGTTTTCTCAAGGGGCAACTAATTCGTAGTTATTGTTTAGTATTTTTGGGTGTCATTGTCAAACAATTTACTTTATGTTTGTAACTATTAGATAAAGATTATTTTTTAATAAAGGCAAAGGTAAGCAGTATCAATATTATTTTTATGTTTAGTATAAACGTTTTATTAACTATTGGGAAGCACCCCGAAACAGGCACATGGAAAAGCCTTCATAGTCAGACCATGTCCCAAAAGAACTGGATAACTACTCTCTACGAATAGGAACCAGTTGAAAGTGATAACAGGGTTCCTGGCTGGGCACGCCCCAGTAAAGGATCAGTTGAACAAAATTGGCATGTATAATGGGGAACTCATGTGCCGACTATGTCACAAGAAACCAGAAACGGCCAAACACATACTATGTGAATGCGAAGCTTTAGATCGCAAAAGACAGGCACTTTTTGGACAACCCCAGTTTGACATAACATGGGGTAAAACACAATAAGCCAATAGGCTTCAGTGTTATTTGGAGACATATTCAGACGAGCCCAGGAGAGATAAAAAAAAAACTTTTTATTAACCAAGTTCGTTTTTTGCCTAAAATATTAATTATTTTATACCGGAAAAACTATCGATAGTGTCGACTATCGTTTACTAGATTAAATAAATTATAAGAGTTATGTTGTAAAACTGTAGAAAATGTACCAATAAGGATCTGGGATCAATTTAATTTAAAGTATAATCCTAAAACACTTTTTAAAACTAAGTGTTAAAACCTAATTTATTACATACGGTGAAATACATCGTCAAGGTGAGAACGTTAATGTTTCGCTCCGAAAATTTTTTAAATTTTGTGAAGATATTGTGTATTTTTTGTAGTGTAAATTGTATTGATTGAAAGAGAAAACTTAGACGAATCGAATGCTGGTATGTTAATTTTGCAAATTAAGTAATTAAGTAATTTGTTGAATAAATCACGGATTATCGTTAAATTGCGAGTACGCTGCTAAATATAAATTTACCTACACATATACGAGGGTACGTCCCAATATTACCAATGCCTACAACACCTACAACAAGCGGGAGTAAAGAAATCTCTACTATACGTTGTTACAAACCATTAATGTTAACTTGAATTCCAAAATAGACGAGGTGCAAAAGGAGCTTAAATCAGTCAAAGAGATTGTTAAGGTGGAAATAGAATCCATAAACAAGCGGGTCGATAATCTTCAAGAGGAGAATATATTTATAAAAAATAAATTAAAAGTAACTGAAAGAAAGCTTAAACAAAACAACTTAGTAATTTATGGATTACCTGAGCAGGAAGAAGAAAACTCTCACACGCTAATAAATACAATATTGGATCTGATCAATAGTAAATTAACAGTTGATTTTCACGTAGGGGAAATAAATAATATTTTTAGAATTGGAAAACAAAATCATCGCCCTGTGTTACTATCTCTAACAACTTTTTTGAAAAAGAAAGAAATTTTAAGAAATTGCGCTAATCTTAAGGGAGCATCTATTATAATTGTAGAAGACTTAATTGAAGAAGGCCGAGCAGAAAAAAAGATATTAGGAGAAAAATTAAAAAAGAAATCTTACATCAAAGGGCTGAAGTTGTTTATAGAAGATGTGCCATACACTGCAAGT